CTCCTCAGATCTTGTAAATTCAGGACAGTGGCTTCCTTGGTTGTATCAATATATTAAAATGCATTAAATAATTAAAAATCAAAAATTCTACAGCCACATTAGTAAACTATATCCCTGCTCCTGGCCAAAAAAAGTTTGATCTGGAAAGTGCATACATAGCAATGTGGGCAAAATTAGAACCCATAAGTAAAGGCATGCTCAGTGAAATTTCCCCGAGTTCCCACATAATACATTTTTCACTACATCTTGACCACTGGGATTGTGTTGGCCCATATGCCATACATGGCCCACCCATTTAAATTTGTTTTATTTATTTATGTGCTTTATCCTAGAGTGGAATTCTCCCTTTGTTTTGATTTATTTATTTACATATTTATTTACTTTATTTTTACCCTGCGCTATCTCACCCCAAGGGGGACTCAGTGCGGCTTCCAATTTTGATGCATAAAGATCGAACAAAACATACGTATTTAACCATTAAAATCAATTAAGCATATAAAATATAAATTAAACCAATTAAAACACCTAAAGCATTTAAAAATTAGCATAGTATAGCACAGCACCAATCCAAAATTGTCATCCAGGTTACTTCTTATGTCAGTTTGTGAGAGTCTATTGCATTTTAATTTCTACTCACCAAAAGCCTGCTTTCACAGCCAAGATTTCACTTTTTTCTGAAAGATCAGGAGGGAGGAGGCTGATCTGATGTCACTGAGGAGGGAGTTGAGGGGCCACCACCAAGAAGACCCTGTCTCTCGTCCTCACCAATCTCACCCGCTAAAGGGGGTGGGACTGAGAGCAGGGCCTCCCCTGCAGATCTTAGCGCTCGGACTGGATCATAAAGGGAGATACATTTGGACAGGTAAGCTGGGCCCAAGCCATTTAGGTCTTCATAGGTTAAAGCCATTACTTTGAATTGTGCTCAGTAACACACTGGCAACCAGTGGAGCTAACATAACAGGGGAGTTGTCTACTCCCTGTACTCCGCTCTGGGGATTAATGTTCTGGCTTTCTCCCAGAGATGACACAGAAGGTAGCTTCCAACACAGTGTATAACCTGACAAATTCAACATTATAAAATATGAACTATTAATTATTCAATTAAAACTTCAGTGAAAACAATTGAAAATCTTACACTACTAATAAGCTACATTAATTTTAGTATGTTAATGCAATATATGCAACTGTACTGTAATGATAAAATATGGTAAGAGGGAATATATTAGAAATGCACATGTTAAAACTTCAAAGATTCACAGGCAGGCAAATGCCCGAAGGCCTGCCTGAATTCAAAAACCAGAATTTTCTTCACTCAGTGTCTGAGAATTGCAATGCACAGATCATAGATTGCAAATAAGGGTTTGCAGATCCACTTTTCCTCCCTTTCGGCCCAGGGTAAATGATTCCTCCACTCCCTTGACTGAGTATGCAGTGTGATCTTAATAGAAAAAGAGACAGCTGCCATCAGTCTAGTGACCTGGAATAAATTGCGGTTTCCTACAATTGCAGTTTGCTTTTGTTTCATTTCCCTTTGGAGCTACGTGCTAACACGACAGTACAGAGAGTGATAAGCACAGGGCTGGAAAAATGCAGAGGAATGAATTCTGCAGGGGAGAGTGGTAATCGGGATATAGCATTCGCCTTATTGAGTCGGACCAATGGTCCATCTAGCTTCATGATTCAGTCTTCCAGCCGGATGCCGCAGCCTTTTCGAAAGTTTCCTTAATATCTCAAGTTGTATGAAAAACTCTGGTTTTTTTCTCATTGTGTCTGAAAACTTCCTTTAATTTGTGGCCCCGGTCCAGGGCTTGGAAAAGTTATTTTTTAAATTGCAACTTACAGGCTTGTTGTTGTTGTTCATTCGTTCAGTCGTCTCCAACTCTTCGTGACCTCATGAACCAGCCCACGCCAGAGCTCCCTGTCGGCCGTCACCACCCCCAGCTCCTTCAAGGTCAGTCCAGTCACTTCAAGGATGCCATCCATCCATCTTGCCCTTGGTCAGCCCCTCTTCCTTTTGCCTTACAGGCTACCCTAAGCTTAATCCAGACAAGACAGAGGTCCTCCTGGTCAGTCATGGGGCCAGTCGAGGTATTGGTTGGCAACCGGTGTATTTTGACAGGGCTACACTTCCCCTGAGGACACAGGTCTGCAGTCTGGGAGTCCTCCTGGACTCAGGGCTAACACTTAGAATCATAGAATCATAGAATCAAAGAGTTGGAAGAGACCTCATGGGCCATCCAGTCCAACCTCTGCCAAGAAGCAGGAAAATTGCATTCAAAGCACCCCTGACAGATGGCCATCCAGCCTCTGTTTAAAAGCCTCCAAAGAAGGAGCCTCCATCACACTCCGGGGCAGAAAGTTCAACTGCTGAACAGCCCTCACAGTCAGGAAGTTCTTCCTCATGTTCAGTGGAATCTCCTTTCTTGTAGTTTGAAGCCATTGTTCCGCGTCCTAGTCTCCAGGGAAGCAGAAAACAAGCTTGCTCCTTCCTCCCTATGGCTTCCTCTCACATATTTATACATGGCTATCATATCTCCTCTCAGCCTTCTCTTCTTCAGGCTAAACATGCCCAGCTCCTTAAGCCGCTCCTCATAGGGCTTGTTCTCCAGACCCTTGATCATTTTAGTCATCCTCCTCTGGACACATTCCAGCTTGTCAATATCTCTCTTGAATTGTGGTGCCCAGAATTGGACACAATATTCCAGGTGTGGTCTAACCAAAGCAGAATACAGGGGTAGCATTACTTCCCTAGATCTAGACACTATGCTCCTATTGATGCAGGCCAATATCCCATTGGCTTTTTTTGCCGCCACATCACATTGTTGGCTCATGTTTAACTTGTTGTCCACGAGGACTCCAAGATCTTTGATGCTTAGGTGTTGGCAGTGGCTGGGAGAGCCTTTGCACAGTTAAAGCTTGTGTGCCAGCTGCAGCCATACCTCGAGAAGTCAGACATGGCCATGGTGGTCCACACCTTGGTTACATCTGGATTGGATTATTGCAATGCGCTCTATGTGGGGCTGCCTTTGAAAATGGCCTGGCAACTGTAATTGGTACAAAGGTCAACAGCCAGGCTTCTTACTGGAGCTAACTATAGGGAGAGCACAATGCCTCTATTTAAAAATATATTTTTTTATTAAAAGATTTTCAATACACACAGAATAAAAGAAACATGAGGAGAGTTTGGGAAGGTAAAAACCCAGAAAGAACCTGGGAAAAAGAAGGAGAAAAGGCAGGGAGGAATGTCATTAAGGAAAGGAAAAGGACGGATGGGGTAGGTAAGGTAATTTTTGACTTCCTTTCATTTACTTCTTTCTTCTGTATACCATAGATTCTTGATAGTACTAAAGTCTCTCTTTCCCCTCTTGATCAATATCTGTTTTGCTGTTGACTAACTAACATGGGTTTTGTTTTGTATTCTTCAAAGCTCGACCAGTCTGTCAGTTTCATTATTTTGCCGATATTTTTCTTCATCAGAAATGTTAGTTTATCCATATATTTTATCTCGTTGCCTGTATTAAAACATCTCCACTGGCTACCAGTAAGTTGCTGGTCCCAATTCAAGGTGCCCTAAACCTACAAAGCCCTAAACAGTTCAGGCCCTACCTATCTTCTCCCCCTATGAACTGGCACAGGCTCTGCAATTGGCTGGGGAGACCCTCCTCTCACTCCCGTCAACATCACAAGCACAATTGGTGGGGTCAAGAGAGAGGGCCTTCTTGGTGGTGGTCTCACAACTTTGGAACTCTCTCACCAGGGAGATTAGGCAAACCCCCACGCTGTCCTCCTTTCGTAGGGACCAGAAAACCTGGGTGTCTCAGCAGGTTTTTGAGATTGATTAATTCCTCGGCCCGTTCCCTAAGCTGTTAGATAGTACTCTGTTCAGCACTTTATCCATTTCCACAGCCCTATGATACACTGTTGCACTATCTCTTGCCCAGACCTTTTATAGTTGGTTGTGTCCACTTTGGTTCAAAATGCCAATTCTGGCCATTGGTATTTTGAACCTGTGTGATGGAGCTATAATGAAATCAGTTTTTAAATTTTTATGTTATATTTTAGTAGGATTGTATGTTTTTTATGTTTATTTTAATTTTTTCGATATGGTGTTTCTTTTTGGTAGTTGAATGTTTTGCCTTATTTATTGGAAACCGCCCTGAGTCACCTTGGGGGGATAGAGAGATATATACATTTTTATTATTGTTATTATTTATTTATTTATTTATTTATTTATTTATTTATTTATTTATTTGAAACACAATAAGCTGAGTCCACAGCAGACAAGATTACTCTGCTGGCTGTTGTATTGGATCACACGTTGGACACTCCCCAAGTGTCTAGGACTGTGTGATGTAGTGATGTATCGGTGAATGATGCGTGCAGATCCCAGTAAGGGATGATGATGATGATTATTATTATTATTAGTAGTAGTAGTAGTAGTAGTAGTAAGCACTGGGAGTTTTAGTCCCTCAAAAGTGGTGGCCCTTCGACATCATTGGAGCATTAGTTCCAGGATCTCCTGTGGATACCAAAAAACCATGGGTGAACAAGTCTATTATATAAATGGACGAGAAGGGAACTCAAGCACCACCCGATGCTTTTACTTCCATGTACACCGTGAAGGCAGCCAACACAATTCAGTTGAACATAACCAGCTGCTTAAGCTGCTTCACGTAGGGCTTCCAAACCTTGACAATTTGGTTGCCCTTCTCTAGATATGTTCTAATAGAATGGGCCACATTCCTCCAGGGAGACTTTATGGTGACTTCCAGTGGAAGATGTTCATTTCAATAGTTCACCACAGTTCAGAAATATATCCCCTGCTGATACGTGGTTGTACAATATCTGCCTCTTATATTTGATGCACTTCTACTTTTGAAACACTTTCATCAATATCACACCTAGATCTCTCTTGACTATACAACTTTGGTTGACTTTTATGCTACTTATCTGTAGTCCATTTTGAATCAATCCCCTCTTCTCCTCATTTTCTTTCCTAGGTCTGGGGTTCAGCATTGCTGGAGGTGTGGGGAATCAGCATATCCCAGGAGACAACAGTATCTACGTTACGAAAATCATTGATGGAGGAGCAGCACAGAAGGATGGGAGGTTGCAAGTCGGAGACAGGCTTCTTATGGTAAGATGTTGTGTATCTCTGTGAAGATGCCCTGTAATGAAGCCCATTTGACTAGAGCCATTGATTTTAATAGGAGTTGTCACCTCAACTATGATATATCTATATACCCATTCTCATAGGAAACTAACACAAGAGGAAAAGAGTCCTGGAATGAAGGCTTTGCCTTTTTCAAAGATTTGAGGAGAACAGCCATGGGTATTCTAGAGATCCCAGAACTTAGAATGTTAGTACAAAAGCCTGGGTTTGGGGGGGGGGGTTGGGGGGGTTGAGATTTCATGACAGTGCCATATAACCTTTCCATGTTATCATTAATTGAGGGGAGGGGAGGGGGTAAATAATGTGTTAATAGCTAAGACAGATATTAATCTGATAACTTGTTTAAATAAGAAATCCAGAGAGAAGGTGGCATTTATCATCATAGCTAACATTATTGCCCCCCCATCCATCAATCATACAACTTGTTATTTGATCCTAGGGTCATTCTGGAGTTTTCTGGAAGCTCCAGAGTAGCCTGCAGTCTTTTTCTTGTGGTAGATTAGTTGCTGGAGGCAGTACTTCTGCTGCAGAACTAGCCATATGTTGCATGGAACCAGCATGTACTCTAAGATCATCTGGAGAGGCTCTTCTTTTGCTTCCGCCGCTGTCGCAAGCGTGTGGTGACGAAGGAAAGGGCCTTCTCTGTGGTGGCCCCTCAGCTCTGTCCATTTTCCCAAGGGAGATCAGACAGGCCCCCACTCTGTCCATTTTCCGCAAGGAATTAAAAACCTGGTTGTTCCGGTGTGCCTTCGATTAGGCAGCTCGCCAAAGAAGTTTCTGACCTTATATAAGTTCCTGCACTTTGGCTTGGTCCCTTCTAGCACTCTAACACTTTAATAATGTAAGCATTAGCCTCCTATCCCAGCCTTCTCTTTTGCCACACTTGCCCTTGGGACTGTATAGGAATAATTGCATTTTGGAATCATGAACCTGAACCCACTTTTTGTTGTTGAGCCACGATACTGGTTTATGATGTTGTCTGATTTGATGCTTTATTGTTTTTAGTTGCTTACTGCATTTCTGTGCTTGCTTTTAATCTGTATTTGATGGGTATGTCCCATTGTAAACCACCCCAAGTCCCTTCAGGGAGATGGAGGCGGGCTATAAAAATGAAATTATTATTATTATTATTATTATTATTATTATTATTATTATTATTGACTGCTTTCATTGTGTTTGGGGAGGGGGGGTTATGGGTTCAGCCTGCTGGCCAGCTCTTCCAAACTATCCTTCTATAACCATACCCTTTCCCAGCAGTTGCCGATAACCCTACTGGAGTCAACAGACAAATGTGTTGCCTCTTCTCTTTTTTAGCATTACTAGCTCTAATAGTCCTTCCTTTCCTCCTTAGGCGATCCCTCGTTTTCCGAGGAGGATTGTCTTCCAGTGTTCTTGTGGGTCTGTATGTGGCTGTGGAGCCCTATTCTTGCTATGCATCTTCTTCCGCAGTGAGGGCATTGGTTTCCAGGTGGAAGGCGGTCTCAGTCGGGGTTGGTTTGATGTGCCTTCCTCTTGGCACGCTTCTCCCTTTCATCCTCCATTCGTGCCTCTTCAAATTCTGCAGCACTGCTGGTCACAGCTGACCTCCAGCTGGAGCGCTCAAGGCTGAGGGCTTCCCAGTTCTAAGTGTCTATGCCAGAGTTTTTAAGGTTGGCTTTGAGCCCATCTTTAAATCTCTTTTCCTGTCCACCAACATTCCGTTTTCCATTCTTAAGTTCGGAGTAGAGCAACTGCTTTGGGAGACGGTGGGTCGGGCATCCGGACAACGTGGCCGGTCCAGCGGAGTTGATGGCGAAGGACCATCACTTCAATGCTGGTGGTCTTTGCTTCTTCCAGCACGCTGACGTTTGTCCGCCTGTCTTCCCAAGAGATTTGCAGTATTTTCCGGAGGCAGCGCTGATGGAATCATTCCAGGAGTTGCATGTGGCATCTGTAGACAGTCCACACCTCACAGGCATATAGTAGGGTTGGGAGGACAATAGCTCTATAAACAAGCACCTTGGTATCCCTATGGATGTCCCGGTCCTCAAACACTTTCTGCTTCATTTGGAAAAATACTGCGCTTGCAGAGCTCAGGCGGTGTTGTATTTCGGTGTCGATGTTTACTTTCGTGGAGAGGTGGCTGCCAAGGTAGCGGAAATGATCAACATTTTCTAATGTTACACCATTAAGCTGTATCACTGGCATTGGAGAGGGGTTGGTTGGTGTCTTCTGCAACAGAACCTTGTTTTTTTCAATGTTCAATGACAGGCCAAGCTTCTCATATGCTTCTGCAAAGGTGTTTAGAGTGGCTTGTACATCTTCCAAAGCTCTAATAGTATCCCCTGATAGGCACAGAAGATTATTGTATCCCACCAGATTCTCTTCCACTCTTCCTCCAGTTTTTTCCCAACCCTCAGGGACATTTTGAGCATATTTAATTTTCTATTACTTCCATTTGTAGGTTCATTGATCTTGGCCACTTCCAGTCCCCTTTTTTCCTGACCCAATTTTGCTTGGAAATACCCATTAATTACTGGCCATTCATTTCTCTTGTATCTTGCTGTAAAGTGAGTGACAGAACTCATTACAGGAGGATGTAGATGCTACTGGCATATGTCAGTGAATATTTTCTTAGCTGATACACAGAGATGATGTTTGCTTCACTGATCTTCCTTACTTGCACAAACCATTTCACACTATTTTTCCTCTTGCTTCCATATACTGGTCGGTTTATGCATTGGGGAAATACCTCCACAATCCCTTAACTTTGGATTTGGCTCTGATTCAAATTTCACCCAAAACATCTAGACTGGTATGCCAAGTTACCTGTCCTTTTCTAAAGCCAGTATTCCAAATCTCCCACGGACTGTTCCAGTTCCTTCTTTTTCTATTGGGATTCTAATACAATCTTCCTCTTCAGCAAATACTACAGAGTCTGTACTGAGATCTTTATGGGCCCTTCCAGACAGGGCCCAAAATGCGGGCCCTGTCGGACTTCTACTGGAGGCGGCCAAACGATGGCTTCAGTAAAAGAAAATTAATTTGGTACAAAACAAGTAAACTCTGCTTTATCCTGAATTAATCTGATACCCCATTAGACTCGAGCCTTCCTGAAAGGCACAGCTCTAATTGGATATGGGTCCTGTGGTGACTGACTCCAGGGTAGTCTCACAACTACCCAGGGGTCATTCCCAACTTCCCATCCCACTTCTTCATGCCCCATGAGCCTGTAGAAATGAGAGGGCACCAAATACACTGTTGAAGGCTTTCATGGCTGGAATCAATAGATTGTAAGTTTTTTGGGCTGTATGACCATGTTCTAGAAGCATTCTCTCCTGACTTTTCACCCACATCTATGGCAGGCATCCTCAGAGGTTGTGATGTATGCATCAATACAAGGTGCTTGGGAATGAGCCAACATTAATATTTAATTAAATACATTGTTGAAGGTTTTTATAGCTGGAATCACTGGGTTGGTGTAGGTTTTTCAGATGATATGACCAAGTTCTAGAAGCATTCTCTCCTGACATTTTGCCTGCATCTATGGCAGGCATCCTCAGAGGTTGTGAGGTATGCATCAATGCAAGGTGCTTGGGAATGAACCAACTAATATTTAATTAAATACATTGTTGAAGGCTTTCATGGCTGGAATCACTGGGTTGTTGTAGGTTTTTCGGACTATATGACCATGCTCTAGAAGCATTCTCTCCTGACATTTCACCTGCATCTATGGCAGGCATCCTCAGAGGTTATGAGGCCTCACAACCCCAACCTCACAACCTGCCATAGATGCAGGCGAAATGTCAGGAGGGAATGCTTCTGGAACATGACCATACAGCCCGAAACACTTACAGCAATCCAGTAAAGGACAGTTTTAAAAAAATTAAAGGAAAGGGGGTAGTCCATCTCTATCTTTAACAAGTACAGTGTCCCCTCACTTATTGTGGGTGTTACATTCCAGGACTGCTTGCGAAAAGTGAAAATCTGCAAAGCAGGGATGCTATGTATATCGTGTTCCGAGGGTGAGGCAGAAGTGGGATTAAAAGGCACCATGCACCTCTTTTCTTTTGCTAGCTATCTCTGCTTTGCTTTGCAATCTCTCTTGATTGGTGGCCCCTTCCACACTTCATTGCTGCCCAGAGGTTGGATTAGAATGCCGCTCTGGGCAACGGCAACCATTCAACAACTGGGAGGCAAAAACCCTTCAAAACAGCAAGTCTGTAAAAAGCAAACCGCAAAGTGGCGAGGGAACACTGTATGCCTAATATCCTGGGTCTAATTACAAATGGTAACACGTGACCCACGCACATATATGTGTCCACATGTGCAGCATTTCTATTTATTATTATTTATTTCAGAGTTTAGAGCAATGATAATTGTAATCAAAATGGGTTTTTGCTGGCCATTGAAGCCTGGGCACAATAGAGATGTGCCTACTATCTTTGTAGTGCACCTGGAACTGTTTGAAGGCAGGGAAGCAATGGGGGAATTCAACATTGTTATGAATTTTGCCTACTGGCCGGTGCTTCCAGGAGATACTTTTTCTACCCATTACCATTGGAAAATCCTTACATTCAAAGATTCCTGCAGGCACAAAGTGTTCTTCAAAGTGCCCTCTGTGGATTCAGTGTAGCTTCCTCCCATGAAGGTGTGTATAGGACAGCGTTTCTCAACCTGGGGGTCGGGACCCCTGAGGGGGTCGCGAGGGGGTGTCAGAGGGGTCACCAAAGACCATCAGAAAACACCTATTTCTGCTAGTCTTAGGAACACAGTGCTCTCCGGAGGTAGGTGAACTACATCTCCCCTAAATCACTGTCAATTCCTCCCAAATCCCTGCAGTATTTCCTGTTGATCATGGGGGTTCTATGTGGGAAGTTTGGCCCAATTCTATCATTGGTGGGATTCAAGGGGCACTTTGAGTGTAGGTGAACTATAAATCCCAGCAACTACAGCTCCCAAATGTCAAGGCCTCTTTTTCCCGA